AAGTTAATAATTAATAGTAAGTAAGTAAAAAGTAAAGTAAAGTAAGTAACTAACTACGGACGACGTACGTGCGTACGTGTAGTATAATATATATATATATATATATATATATATATATATGGGAAATGATGTTGTGCGCCCAAGTGCGTACTGCTACAGTAAACGCCCATAGCTCAAAATGAATCTGGGCCGATCTGATGCTCACGGATGTCCAATAGTATTTGAATTTTATTTTATTTTTATACAAATCTAAATCACTTGAAATCGTGCGTTCTCATCAAGACGCACCTAATAAAAATATAAAAAAAATAATTCACAAAAAATAAATTAATCAAAATACCCCCTGAAATATTTTGATCAATCGTGTAAATTTTTTTTTAATATTTTCGTGGATTCACTTATTTTTTAAGAACACATGCTTAAAATTTCAAATGATTTGGATTAGTAGAAAACAAATTAAAATTCAAACACTATCAGACATCTGTGAGTGTCAAATCGGCCACAAAATGGCCTAGATTCAATGTAGGCCATTCGCGTATGTGCGTACATCAGTTACTCCCTATATATATGTGTGTGTGTGTATGCGCGCGCACGCAAAATTTTGATTTCCTTGAAATATTAAGAATAAAGCATAAATAAATGCAAATTTTATTAAAACTTTATCTAAAATTTACCTAACACAAAGAACAAATTATACAAAAAATAAATTTTTAAAGAAGTAAAAAATAAATCAAACTATTTAACTTCATAAAAACCAAACAAAATATTTCACGTCATCTAATAGGACATTTCAATCAAAATCAAAATAAAAAAACATTGCGGCAAAGAAGGCGAAAATTCTACTAAAAAAAAGGCAGAAATTTTACTAAAAAATCGATATCATAATTTTTTTTGTTTTGATTCAAATTTTTGCTACGGTTTTAATAAATCAATATCTTGAGAACATTTTGAGACAAGTTTAACGAAATTTAGTAAGACATTGAGTGCAAAATCAAAGATTTTCAATATCGGGTAAAAAACATCCTAAAACTTTCGCTCTAGAATTCTTCAAAAAGGGGCCTCAATCCAACAAATTAAAATGTAGATATCCTATCCAACACGATAAACAAATTTCAAAGATTTTTCCATTGTACTGAATGAGAAATACATAGAAAGGTGGATTACGTTCATAAATGTAGGGGGAAAAAAAGGAAAACCGAATGGACAATATGCTCCTGCGGGTTATCTAGGGAGTAAACAAACAATATGCTCCAGCGGGAGCAGAAAATCCTAAAAAAACAAGGAGATTTTAATATAAAAATTGTTTCATGCCAACTAAAATGCATTTCTACAATATACCGTCCAAAAGTATAAAGCATCTATCTTAAGGATGGATACAAATAAGACGTCTATCTAAAAATTATTGTAACTAACAGTCCAAATATTTTTTTAATATAATTATTATTTTTAATTTTTCTAAAAAATAATTCATATTCATAATCTCCATGTCAAACATTATATACCCTCTAAAACTTACGACCAAATTATATTTAAAAATATATATTTATTGCCAAATACGTATTTCTACGGCCGGCCGCCTATAAACCGTATGATTTTAATATTGTGCGAGAATTAGGTGGTATCACGGGACCGAACTGGTTTTGGTCCGACAGCCATAACACATAGACCTGGTCGGAGCCTTGGGGTACTCGTGTGACCAAAATCGTTTAATTTCATTTGATTGGTCACCTGATCATAAACTCATTTAAGAAACCAAGTAATGGCAAAATATCAAGTACCAACTACTACATCAATGAGTGTGGGGCTAATTTTTTTTATCAAAAACCATGAAATTTTGGGTACAAAATCTCGATTTTCAGCCACTGATCAAACAAATTAGCATGGGCCTATTGCAGAGGGTAAATCACAATCAAATAGAAATTATAGAATCCAGTTTCAACAGGTATGTGCCAAAAATGAGGGAGCAGATTGTTTAGGGTTTAAAAAATAAAATAAAACCTTACAAGAATCAATGATTTTCAGCCCAAATCTTTCAATTTTCAGCTTTTGATACAACAAAAAACTATGGGGCACTTGTAGAGGATTGAATCAAGATCACATAGAATCAGGCTTGCATGGATTTGAATAAAGAAAAAGAGAGAAATCTATGTCGAGGAGGATTGAGTAGGAAAAAACCATGCCTCTTCACAAAAAAAAATGATAAGAAAATGCTAAATCAGACTTTTTAATCCAAATGGTCAAAGAAAACCAGGTTGTTTTCTAAATGTAATAATAAAAACCATATGTAGATGTATTTTAAATCATATTATAGTTATTTTCAACAAAATTTGTGTTTTTTAAATCTTTTCAACCTTGGCAAGTTGGTTAGAACTTCCAAAAAACTTGGCCGAGGCCAGTAACTCAGCCGAGTCCAACAACACTGTAAACATAAATGAGGAAAATGCTTTTTTGCCTTTTTTCTGGCTTGATACATAAAGGTTTTGGCTCATGAGCAGGTTAACTATGAAAAGTGGAGCTGAACAACTCCAATCAATGAATTGGTTTGTAGAATATGTTAGAGCGTATAGCATTGGGTACTCAGAACTTGCATCCACCATTTGCACTTGTCAACGAACATGGATGTTCCACTTACCAAAG